TAAGGAACCAGCAGATCAAGTAGCTTTTGGAATAAAACACCAATTTTTTTAAAATTAAACACTATCTAAAGATTTGCATCGAAGCGTTTATTTTTGATAGTGATTTTAATCACTGTCAGATATCATTATACTTGATCCAACTATACCACGTCACAACTGTGCCGCGACCCCCCTGTGCTGGGTTTTTTTAGATTTCTTTGTTTCATAATTTGAATAGATACCTTAAAAATAGAAAAATATCATAAAAAAATAAAATATAGCTATTGTTTATAGAGTTTTTATTAATAATTCTCTTAAATACATACACTTCCCTTAGAAGCCACTATAAATTTATCTAATTTTTTGAAATGAGTTGTTACAATTCATTCAGTATTTTCTTAGGCTTACCTCTTATAGATAAAAAATTGCATACTAATTTATTATTATTTATAAAAAATGCATTTTTCTTTATTGACAAGAGATAATTAAACGACCTCATAATTATGACGATGTTGAATTTTAATTGTGTTTTATGATAAATTTTATCTTATTTCTTTGTTTTGTTATATAAACCTTGTATTTATCATAGTTTTTTGTGTCTTTACAAGTTCTTTTGTTGTCGCTCAATTTTTATTTTATTCGTTTATAAATATATAACATACATTTAAATATTAATCGCAAAAAAAAAAAATCCAGTTATATATTAATTTAAAATAATCAATTAGTAGTTGCAACTCTTTTTTTAGAAAGGAATAATTCATTTAATTGAGTTACAATAAAAACTAGAATCAATTTTGCAAATGGCAAAATTTGTTTTGAGATTTTGTGATTTAAAAGAGATATAACTTAATTAAATTAGAAGTTGGAGATAAATTGTTACATCGTTTATTTAAAAAAGTGAAACGAAATTCAATAAAAAATTATTTATTCTGTGTGTGTTAGATCTTTAGGTTAATAAAATTCCATTTGAAAAATTATAGCTTCCTTAAGTCGCATCACGATCCGTATTGTGGAATGCATTGACTATAGCTGATATTCACATAAATTCACTGGTCCTATACTGTATTACGGTTTTTATGAATATATAGTATATAGTACACGTGTTTTAGTAAGGTGCCGCTATCGGTTTTTAACGTTTTAGAAGGCGTGTGGAGATAATTTAAATAGAAAAACTTGTTGAGAAAATAACCGATTATAATAAAATAACGATAATTTAATCATAGCGACGGCAAACCCAACTCGATAGACTACCACGACCATAATGTTTAATGGTCGATAAAAATGTGAGTAATATTTTACCCAGACAAATAGTAAACACCGTATGTCCGGTTCAAGAGCGCTATAACATTTGTGTTGTACGCGTTCAATTGTAATTGAACGGTTCTCAATTAATTAATGGTCTAGGACTTATCAATTTTCTATATATGTCTTGTGAGGTAGTTACTAATCATATGTGCAAATAACAAAACAATAATGCTTCCAGAATATCTACGAAAACCATCTAAAATACAGTTGTTTCTTAAAAAAACGTTTCATATAGTATTCCCAAGATTTTTGATTTATTTATAGTTTTATAAATAAGGTTGACTATGCTAAGGTCGTCTTCTATCATAGTTTTTTTATAATTCAGATTCGAGAAATTTATAATAATCTTGTCGTAGGAGTTGGATTGAGAAATGCCTTGAACAGTTAGCGGATCTACCCAAATTTTGTAGAATTTTTATCATACTAATCTATCTTATTGAACTTTTTTTAATGGATTAATTAATAGGAAACTACATTGGACCTAATAATAGACCTAATATGAAAAAAAATTACGATCATTACAATAATAGTCCGAACAAATTATATTTATTATCGTTGATACTCTTGTTTCTTTTGTTTTCAAAGTAAAAATTATATGTATTTTATCGAGATAACTGTTCAAATTATATACTTTCCTGCACTCATCGAAGTAATTTTTATATATTTTATCATCTTTTCATGTTACTATTCTGTTTATCAATTAATTGTAAATTATTGAATTATTACACATCAAGGGCTAGCTATTTGTCGTATAAGTATTCATTGTTTTTTTTTTTTTTTTTTTTTTTTTTTTTC